AACCCAGGAGAGAGGTGGTGGGTGCTTTGGGAGGAACGGTTGGTGAAAGGGCTGGAGGGAGGCAGCATGTCTGGCCTGGCAGTAATAGGCTTTGGGTTGCTGCTGGTAATCCTGTCTTCCTCTTGTGGGATTAGAGGAGGTCAGAACATGTGGCCTCCTTGCCGTTTTTGCAACTGGGCAATCTACTTCCGTAGTGATACTGCCTCGGCAACCCAAGGAGGGATCGGTCTGAGTCAGGTCCGACTCAATGGCACATAACAACAACAACATCTCCACAGACGTAGATTGTCCAATCTTAGGCACTATGCCACAGAGCTCCCTCACTAGTGATTAAACTCAATTCACTGCTGTGAAGTCAGATCCGACTCATAGAGACCCCTCCTTGGGTTTCCGAGGCAGTATCACTACGGAAGTAGATTGCCCAAACTTCCTTCTGAGGAGTGGCTGGTGGGTTTGACCCTCCAGCCTTCTGGTTAGCAGTCAAATGGCTTAGGTACTGCACCACCAGAGCTCTCCCTCACTAGGGAAATGCAAATCAAAATCACAATGAGATGTCATCTTCTCTGCTAAAATGGAACTGATCCAAAAACCGAAAACAGTAAATGCTGGGGAGGATGTGGTGAGATTAGAAATTAATCCACTGCTAAAAAATCAACCAAATTTACTGCCGTGGAGTCGGGTCCAACACATAGTGACCCCTACTTGGGTTTCTGAGGTGGTATCACTACGGAAGTAGATTGCCCCATCTTCCTTCTGAGGAGTGGCTGGTGGGTTTGAACCACCAGCCTTCTGGTTAGCAGTTAAGTGACTTAGGCACAACAACTATGGAAAATGGTATGACACTTCCTCAAAAAATGAACTCGAAATAAAACTACCTTATGATCCAGAAATCGCACTCCTAGGTATATAATCTGGAGACATAATAGAAGTGACATGAACGGATGTATGCACAGCTATATTCATTGCAAAGAGTCCTGGTGGTGCAGTGGTTAAGCACTTGGCTGCTAACCAAAAGGTCAGCAGTTCAAACCCACCAGGTGCTCCATGGAGAAAGATGTGACAGTTTACTTCCATAAAGATTACAGCCTTGCAAACCCTATGGGGCAGTTTAGTAATACTCTGACCTATGGGGTCTTTATGAGTTGGAATCGACAGGATAGCAATATGTTTTATTCTTGCAGTACTATTCAACAACAGCAAAAAGATGGAAATAACCTAAGTGCCCATCAATAGATGAATTAATAAGCAAAATGTGATACATACATACAATGGAATACTTTGCAGCCATAAATAATAATGATGAGTCTTCAAAAAGAAAAAGTATCACTGAATCACACACAGTCACTTCAGTTTATACTGTATATATATATATACACACATTCACATATGTGTGTGCAGGGTTATAATGTACTATACTGCAGATTGTGGTCAAGCAATTTGAAAAATGCCTGACCTAGGCAATGGACAAACATGAAGATTTGTGAGCATGTGGGCTATAATCAGAATTGAATTTTTTTTTTTTTTAAATGGAGGTTAATTTGTAAATGGATTATAGATGGAGACCAATTGGAAAAGGGTTTTTGTAATCCAGAGGTTCCCAAATGGGGGCTGATTCTACCCCCATAAGACATTTAGCAATGTCTGGAGATATTTTTGGTCATCACAACTGGTGGGATGCTACTGGCATTTACCTTTATATTATTATCTTTTTAAAAGAGTTCTATGCCACACAATCTATTTATTGGTATTATTACTGGATAATTTTTTTCCAGACTCTGAATTTTTTTGTTAGAATGTGTCATTTTGTGACAGGGAAGACTTTATTTACCTAAATTATGAAGTGAGAGGACCGGAAATTTATTCATGTGTGGGCTTTCATGAGTACCAGCCTCTGCACTTAAAAATTAGGGGAAATCCCATAATGTTCCTGGATACTCATTGTGTCTATGTTGCTTTCAGCTGGGACACTGGTTTTTATCTTATTGTGTGTAACATGCTTGTAAATATGTACCTTCTCAGAGAAAGCATCTAATTGTTGTTCTCATCATAATGATATGTTGAAGCTTTTCTATGTATTGAACATCAACATGCAATGTAAGTGTTTCCTGTCATGGCAAACAGGATAAAAATGGGAAATGAGTAGACTCTGTATCTGGGGAACAATAATGTATTTGATTCAAGAGGACGGTTTTCTTTGTGAACTTTTAAACCACCTTGGCTTATGACTTAGTTTTATGCCAAAATACAATTGTATCTCCTTCTATATTTTGTAGATAGTGATCCAAACACCTGCATTAAAAATCAAAAAATTAAATGATTTAATCCACCTTCATTCACCTTAATTCACCCTTAGAAAGATCACTACAGTAGATATCTATAAAAGAAGAGAAATACTGGACTCTTGAAAATTGTCTACTAAAAGAACAAATGTGATTTTTTTTTTTTTTTTTTTTTTTTACAGAGCCTGTCTTCTTGTACAAGATGCTTATGGGCTGTTTGGTGAAGTGCACTTAGAGGGCACCTTCCTGAAGCAAAGACAGTTGGAAGAGGAGTCTTGCAGTCTAGTGGGAATGAAGATTCTGCAGAAGCCCACAAGAGAAAGGTGAGGATGCACAGTAATCACATCCAATGTGCTGCAATGACTGGGTCATTAATTACACTTTTATCATTGCTTTTATTATTAAAGACAATAATGCATGAAAATCCATAGAGTTGAGTGGAACCCAAAAAATACCTCTGGGAGAAAAACTATAATGGGCAACAAAAAATACTATGCAGGTTTAGTGATTCATATTTTGATTATAATTAAGAAGATAAAAATGTTATATATGTATATTTTAATTACAAAAATTTTTCTATAGGTTTTCCTAACTATAAAACTAAAGCAGCTTTGCATGACAGACATTTTATGTAAATTAAAATATGATTTAGAGAAAAGTTATTGCAAGACTTAAGTAAAGCCCCTAATTGAGTTGTCATGTCTTTCTGTTTTCCACAGGAAGCAACCTTGGTTTTCTGTCCACTTTCATGGTTGTTGTTGTTAGTTGCCATTGTGTCAGTTCTGACTCACAGTGGCCCATTGTCTTGCTTCTCTTGTGTTGCTATAACAGAAATACCACATTTGATAGTATGGTAGCTAAGGTTATGTGTCAGCTTGGCTGGGCCTGGTTTTGAGTTGCTAAGCAGCTGGATGTAGTGATTCTCCATAATGGGACTGGTAATCAGCTCCATGGTGGAATCTATTGGGGCGGCTGAGTAGCTGCTTTAGGGATGTGGTCTGCTTCCTGCATACAAAGAGAAGCTTTGGGGATGGTCTTGAGCTTTTCCGCACACTTGGACCCTGCATTTTGCCAAGTCTTCATTCAGCAGACTTCCATGTTTCCTGCCGATCTTGGGACTGTCTCTGGACTTGAACTAGTGTCCTGCCATGTTGTTTTGTAATCCTGGAACTATGCCATTTTATTTGTCATCCTTGGGTTTGTCAGACTCAGCAGCCATCAGCTACCTCAGTGAAAAGACATCTCCAACTCCAGTGGGCTGGGAGCAAGAGGCAGAGCTAAAGCCCAAGGTTGAGGGTCCTTCCCCCAGCTCCTAGAGCTTGGCACTTTGAACTTAGACTTCTAGCCTCCTGAACTGTAAGAGAATAAATCCCTGTTTGTTAAGACCACCCATTTGTGGTATTTTTGTTAGAGTGGCACAAGATGACCAAAACAGATGACTTAACACACAGGAATTTATTCTTTTACAATTTAAGGGGCTAGTTGTCCAAATTCAGAGTGCTGGTTCTAGGAGCTGGGTGAAGGTCCCTCAACCTTGGGCTTTATGCCAAGGGCTCTGCCTCTTATTCCAGGCCCACTGGAACTAGAGGTGTGTCCTAACTTAGACAGCTTTTGGCTGCTGAGGGTGACAAATCCAAGGTCAGAACATAAAATGGCATAATCCTAAAATCAGTAGGCAACATGGCAGGTCACTAGTTTGAGTCCAGGAACAATCCCAAGATTGGCAGGCAATATGGCAGGCTGCTGGAGATGAAGACTCAGCCAAACTGAGGATCCAAAATGTGCTGACAGCTAGAGACCTTTCTCAAAGTTTCTCCTTATATACTTTGGGCCACACCCCAGAGGCAACTAACTGATTAACTGCTCATAGCAGATTCCACCATGGAAATAATTACAGTCTCATCATGGGGAATAATGACATTCAGCTGCCAAGCCACTCACTATCACAGCCCAGCCCAGTTGATACACAATCTTAACTACCATACCCATGTACAACAGAACAAAACACTGACATCCTATGCAATCCTCATAATTGTTGGTATGATTGAGCTCATTGCCGCAACCACTGTGTCATTCTGTCTTGTTGAGGGTTTTTCTCTTTTTCACTGACCCTCTAGTTTACCAAACATGATATTCTTCTCCATGGACTGACCCATCCTGATGACATGTCCAAAGTACATGAGATGAAGTCTCACCATCCTTGCTTTTAAGGAGCTGTGTTGGATTGGGTTCTCTAGAGAAACACAAAAACCAGCAAAGTATATATATATATATTTATAGAGAGAGAAAGAGAGAGAGAGAGAAATTT